CATATTTAGACAATGTGTCGTGCACAATATTTGGGTTGTTTTTACCCTTTGAACTTTGTCTGTGACATAACTCTGACACAACAGAGGTATACCTTCCTGTGTCCAAAACCTATTCGGGGAGCATCACCCGGTTCAACCGGCTCTTGTTTTTCAACTCTATCCTGTACTTTTGTCACATTTATTTGTTAGTGTAGCAATCTTACATTACCTTATATTTCATGTTTAATCATTGAAGAAATAAATAAACGTTGCTACCTTGTCTTACAATGAATTTTGTTTAGTAAGCTGTCAATGTTGTGAAAGAATATTCGTATGTTATTAAAAGTAAAAAAAACATAAACGAAACTGAGCATATCACTTCTTATTGTAATAATATGTTTTAAAAAATATATATTAAATAGATAGGATGATACTGCGCCTTTTAATAGCGACATGATGCTCATCTAATGATATATAGTTAGCGAACGACAAAATAAGTTGTTGTTTTTGTTGTTTTTGTTTTGTTGTTGTTTTTTGTTGTTATTTTCTGCCTTCGGTTTAAAATTAACTTCGCATGAACAGTAAATATATATCGTAGCACAGTGACATTTTTTTTAAATAAGATTTAGAATTTATTTGTAACGTTCAATTTATATAAAAAGAGTTGAGGCAGTCTTTGCAATATTTAAGGCAAATTTAAATTTCATTCTTAACATTAAGTATAAACTTTTGACTATACTAATAAGTTGTTTATTTTTTCTTCTGGTAGGGGATATCATGGCAATATAATTGTATTCCTTACAGTACTGTATGTTATCATCATGTATTGGGGAGAAAAAATACAATTTCATTCGAAAAATGAAATTCATATTGAGGCAATAACATGCTTAATCATCAAAATAAACAACATTAAAAGATCGTTTTATTTATTTTTATTGCCGTGACAATTTGAAGAAATTCAAATTGTAGGATAGATCTTTATCAGTGAAAATAAGTGCTAAAGCTGTAGTAATACAAATGAAAATAAACCACTTGTTAGTCCTTAGAAACTTCTTAAAAGGAAATTTACAACAATTTGATGAATAAGCAGCCATTGATGATGGAAGTGATATTAAACATTATCTAATAACGAATGCATATTTTTATACCAAAGCAATAACTGCAGAACTGAATAAAAAAAACATAAAAGGCCACTGCGATGTATCTTCTTCTGAGCAAGGAGAACAATGTACTGTGTCATTACTTAATTTGTTTACTAAACAAATACGCCCTACACTGAGTCTTCCACATATTAAAGGCGGATAAACGCTATAATAACCCATTTTGTTCGTGTTTGCATTTTGCAAATAAAACATAATAAAGATCATTATCAGTTACATATAACATAAGTCTTTTAGACGTCTTTCTAAAAATAATGCTGGTTAAATTCCGTTTAAATTCGTTCGTTTTCAACATGTGGACATGACCTTTGGGAAACACATTATGGTATTTCTGAAAACTGCGGAATTTGCATATTTCCTTAGTTAAAGAAATGTGTGTTAGCAAAATTAATTTTATGTTCAGTTAACTGTTTTGCATGTTAGCCGATGATAGCTCTTAAGTATCATAATTGTGGAACCTGTAATTAACTGACTTGGTGTAGACCCAATATTGTTGAATTTGTCTGTGTAAGTTGAATTGAAACTAGTTTTCAGCAAACTTAATCATTTTGAGGTTGCTTACCTACATAAATGACATTGTCTAAACGTGTTGGATTTATACCATTGTAACATGCTTCAGAATATTGTAATTTAATATGCACTGTATATTTCTGGGCAAAGGTCTGAATACCGTTTAAAGCTTTTCCGTTATGACACAACTTCACTCAGAAAGTATATACATATATCATAAATTTCCCATTTTAATTCATGTTTCACCAAACGACAATTGACAATAGACAGATATCCTTTGCATTCACCTGTTTCAACACGTACCTTTGTCAATTCTTGAAGACTATCAAATTGGAAAACAGAACAAGCCCTCAAATGAAAATGAAACATGACAAACTAGGAGATAGGAGACGGATACAAAATAGTTATTTGCTTTTTCCATTTCACAGTTTATTATTTTCCATTTATATCTAACATTATGTATAGACCGGATACTGATTCACCCAGAAATATTGTTAAGCTCTTTTTTCACTCAGTCTGATATATTTAGACTCAGCAATCTTTATTGTTATCATAAAACATTTTTATTGAGGATATATCGGACAATTAAGTTCCTTTCTCACAATACCGTCTTACAATATGTTTCCGCCATGTCTGAGTGGAAAACTCATTTGCACTGCATTATGAGAATAAAATTAAAATGAAGTTTATGAGCTGATACTCCCACGATATTTTAAAAGGAAGGCATTGAATCTATTGACAGATATCTGTTTGGATGCATATAGAATTACTGTGAAATTTGTTTGGATATATTGTAATGTCTCGTGTTTGTAGCGTCTTAATGTTAATGGGTTCTATGGTGTGTTTATTTGATATAAATTAATGGCAGTTAACATTTTGTTAACTTCTGTACAATATAACAGCACAGTAGCATTCTATTTATTTATTTTTGTCAATATTATAAAAGTGACATTATGCTCACTTTTTCATTATCAAGACGAGCTTAATTATTTTCTTAAGATTGATTATAATAATTATAATGGTAATTGACCAGACATTTAAAATTAAAAATTGCACTGATAAAAATACAGAACAAAACAAAAGAATAACAATAGATGACTGTCCCCTTCTGTTTTTAATCAATTGAACGTTACAGATACATGATGACGGATATCTATAGAATAGTTCATGAGAAATTTGATTTTATGTGAAATATAATACTCAATTAAAAACAATTATGGCAAAAGATTCATTATCTTTTTAATTCATTTTACTGTACATTCACCATATGTATTAAGTTAGGCATCATGTCTCTTCGATACCTGTTCAATTCTTTAGTAAACGGTCCTGAAAAAGTAAACACTCATTTTACAAAGTGGAAAGGTATAAAACCTACTACTATCATACTATCTGGTCATATTTCAAAAATTAAAATGATACTTTTTATATAGACTGTCGTTTTCTCCAGATATTTCATTTTATATGCAGACGATATTAAGGCTGATGTGCAAAGTAATTAACGGTCATGAACATTTTCAATAAAAAAGGATCTGCAATATTTCATTTGAATTCGTCTTGTATAACGATCATTAGGTTTCTAATTTCTCTATAAAATTATTCAACATTTGATTCCTGTTAAACTTAAATAGAAGAATTTCATTACTAATTGTCTATTTCAACGGAACAAATTTAATTTCTTAACATGTAGAAAGTATCAAGAGTAGTTCATTAGATAATGTGTTTATCGTGTCAGTTCTTTGAAGAATGTTGTTTTTAGGAAGGAATTATTTTAACAATTTATAAAATATTTAAAGAGCAACAATTGCTGTTTTGGAGCCGCTGTAGAATAATTAAGCAAGTTATAAGTTCATTATAGCTACATTTTAAAAATCTTATACGTCAAAAAGATTTCGTCCAATACATTATACATTAGATAAAATATGCAGTTTTTCTCTTCCAGCTTACATTAGATAAATCAAATTATAATAATGAAATTTTAAACTAAACCTTGTGTTTGTTTCTTATCTTTATAATTCAACCAAGCATTTCAAAAATTATCTAATATATCTTCATTTTATGGTTTAGCTATCATTATAACTTTGCGTATTTATTTAACATAAGACAGTAGTGCCCCTTTGTAGAGTGGCGTGTTCCGACATCGGCGAAGGAAAATAATTCTTTTCATCTATTCAGGCCTAAAAGCGTTTGTATTATTAGACCCTACAGCCCCCAGAAGAAACATAGGAACGAGGGAAACCAGTAATTCATCGCAAGAGTCCATATCTTTGGAGAACTTCCACGTGAACTTTTGAACAGCGGTACCCCACCCACCGCCATTACAATGACCGTCTGCGCACGAAGTCAGCGCAGGGCGGATGTTTGCACCTGTAAAAATATTCACATGTTTTCTTGTGCTGTAATTCTAACAATCTTGACGATTTTTGGTTGTTACGGTGTGAAAGAACATCCCTCACCACAAACTTTAAATGATGAAACAATATTTGCAAAACTTTTTACAGACGGTGATGATTTTCCGTCAAGCGTAGCCATAAATTTTGCTATAAATAAAAAGTCACACAAACTTTCCTGTTACAATTTAAAGGCTAATATATTCATGTATCTTATTATTATACAATGTGGAGACATAGAAATTCAACCCGGTCCGGGAAACTACCCATGCGGTGTGTGTCACAAAAGAGTCACCTGGAATGCAAAAGCCGTTCAGTGTGAAGACTGTGAAGTCTGGTTTCACAGTGCTTGCTTAAACATTGGCCCAAAAACATACCGTGACTAAGGTAGAGACAGTGTAGTATGGCTATGTAACACATGTGGACTACCAAATGTTGCTACATTCACATTTATAGATTTAGACTCTTATCATTCAACAAACCCATTTGATGAATTATCAAACTTAAGCATTGAATGTACTGGAATTGGTGAAAATGCATATACATCTCCTTCATAAAGAAATACAAACTCTAGAAATAAATCTACAAATTTAAATCTTACTGATATATTTAAGAATGGTAGTGTTTCATCTCATGAAAACAGTATTATGTCAGACCCAGAATCAAGTTTACAATCATCTCAGTGCATTTCTACTGATAAATCTACGACATCTTCTAGTGGTAGTTCATTATTGGTACGCAGGGGCGACACCCTATCATTTTGTGTCATAAACTTTCAAAGTATTAGGAATAAAAAAACTGATTTACATAACCTTATAGTTAGTATTGAGCCCGATATTATCCTCGGAAATGAAACTCATTTAGATCCAGCCGTTCTCGATGCTGAAATTCTACCTTACAATATACCACCTGAACACTCTTATAGAATTTTTCGAAAAGACCGCAAAGAACTTATTGAAAAGTCATGGTTTTAGTTAAACCGGGTTTAGACTGTGAAGACTGTCCAGATTTAGATAGTAACTGTGAAATTAAATGGGTGAAAGTCACAACTTCAAAACAATGTAATATACTAGTCGGTGCATTTTATCGTGAACCCAAGTCTCAAATCGAAACACTGAACGAACTTGATATCTCGCTTGGAAAAATAGGAAATAGTGAAAAATATCGGAACTGTAAAATTTTCCTTGGTGGGGATTTTAATTTAGGAGATATTGACTGGGAGTATGGTAATCCTACGTCGGGTGCTAAAGATAAAGCACATTGTGAAAAATTATGCTCAATATTAAATTTGCACTTTATAGAACAGGTAAACTTGCTACCTACGAGAATGAATAGAACTCTAGATCTTTTTATAACATCACACCCAACTTTGATTGAAAAATGTTCCACAGGACCTCCACTCGGTTTAAGTGATCATGATTGCCTGTTTGTTACATCAAAATTACGTGCAGTTACCAACAAGAAACAAGATCGAACTGTTTATAATTATAAAAAGGCAGATTGGCAAAAACTTAAAGATCTGACAAATGAATTTAAATCTGACTATCTAGCTAAATACCAGAATAACAGTGTAGATACAAACTGGGTCAACTTTAAAGATACACTTTTCAGAAACATGGACAAATGTATTCCAACTAAAAAACTGAAAAATAAACAAGATATACCATGGTTGCATAAAGATACAAAAAGAATGCTTCGTAAAAAAAAGCGTCTGTACAAACGCGCGAGGAAAACTAAATCGAGTGAAGATTATGAGGAATTCAAACTTTTCCGAGTGAAAGCAAGGAATAAACTGCATAGTGACTATCATAAATATTTGAACAACCTATTAGACCCGGAACAAGATTCAACATCAAAGAAATTTTGGAAATATATAAAAGCCCGGAAACAAGATTCAGTCAGTATAGGTACATTGAAATCCCAGGGTGTTATAGCAGATAGTGCAGAATCGAAAGCCAACCTTTTAAACAGTCAATTTAGTTCGGTATTCACAAATGAAAACTTAAAAAACATTCCAGATAAGGGACAGTCCCCATACATACCTATGAATGATATTATCATCAGCGAAAATGGAGTAAAGAAATGTATTGAACGACTAAATGAGCAAAAAGCAAGTGGTCCGGACAAAATTCCCATTAAAGTGTTAAAAACATTAGCATTTGAACTGGCGCCCATTATGACTAGTATTTTTCAGCAATCATTGTTAACTGGTGAAATTCCTCTGGACTGGAAACAAGCTAATGTAGTTCCTATCTTCAAGAAAGGTGATAGATCAAAACCTGAAAACTACCGCCCAGTCTCTTTGACAGTCGTTGTATCAACAATTCTTGAACATATAGTTGTGTCACAAATTATGAATCATCTTGATTCTCAAAGTATTCTACATGAAAATCAGCACGGATTCCGCTCGAAAAGATCTTGTGAATCTCAACTATTAATGACAAATGATGACATTGCAAAATCACTTAATTCCGGTACACAAGTGGATATGGCAATCTTAGACTTTTCATTTGATAAAGTTTCTCATAGACGTTTATCACACAAACTAGAGTATTATGTATTTCCGGTAATACTAGGCGTTGGATTGATTCCTTTTTATCTAATAGAACACAACAAGTAGTAGTGGACAACGCATCATCTGATATAGCCTCAGTAACATCTGGTGTACCGCAAGGAACAGTCCTCGGACCAACACTCTTTTTAATCTACATAAATGACATCGCAGATAATATTACATCAGGTATACGTTTATTCGCTGACGATTGTGTGTTATACCGGCCAATAAGTAACCAAAGTGACAACATAGCTCTCCAGGAAGATCTTAGTAAACTTGAAAATTGGTCGGACATTTGGCAAATGGAATTTAATGTTAAAAAATGCACCATTATGCAATTTTCATCTTCTCCACACAGAAAGAAATATGACTACAAAATGAAAGGCGAAAGCTTGGAAATAGTCAACCGGCATCCATACTTAGGGGTTGAATTCAGTGATAATTTGAAATTCAACGACCATATTAACAACATCACAAAAAAGGCAGCAAGTACACTTGGTTTTCTAAAGAGGAACTTAAGATACTGTCCTCCCAAAGTAAAAGAAAAGGCTTACATTAGCTTGGTCAGACCTAAACTGGAATACGCTTCTCCAATATGGAATCCTTTACAAAAGACTTAAGTTAAGCAGATAGAACAGATACAAAGAAACGCAGCAAGATGGGTATTGAATAGACCGTATAACCCACACAATCCTTCTAGTGTAACTGAACTAATAAATAAATTACAATGGCCCAGTCTTCAACAACGTAGAGTTTGGGCAGATGTGACTCTCATGTATAAAGTAGTTAACTACTTAATAGCTGTACCAGTATCGTACCACCCCACTATTGCCACAGTTCGTTCAACCCGAAGAAGTCACAGTATGAAATTCATCCCAATCCAATCTAGAATCAACGTTTATCAACACTCATTTTTCCCAAGAACTGTTAATACCTGGAATATTATACCGGATTCTTGTGTTACTTCTAAGAGCCTGGAGGCGTTTAAATCTTCCATCCAGCTCGTTCCAGTCGAACCATCATATGTTTAAATGGTCAACATCTTGAAAAGTGTAAATACATGTTGGTCAACTGACTTTTTAAGGGTGTAGTGTGGAACATCAGTTTGTCAATGGGACAGTTGTGATACAATTGTGTAAAATAGTTTTAAAAATTTATGTCGGAACACGCCACTCTACACCGATGTACAGTCTTCACCTCCTCGACGTCGATGTCTACTTCGTGGATTTTGTCGAGAAACCCCGTTGAAGTTGAAGTTGAAGTATCATTTTGATTCGAAAGGATAAGTCACTTGGCTTAATAAATACATTTAATTTAGATATTAATTTAAATTTATCTTCCGCTGTATTATGCTTGATGGTAAGGAAAAGATGGCCAATTTATTAGAACGCAGTTCACTTAATCAAAAGTATTGTTCGTAAATGTCATAATACAAAAGTTTTTTTTACACGTATTGAATGTTCCATGCAACGCAATGTGAAAAAACATCGAATGTTTCAAAATTCAAAATTTTGAATGATGGTACTTTTTCAATATTGCCGTTTTGGACGATCTTTAGAGAATCTTACTTTCTCTATAATATTAGGATATCTTATGGTCCAAACACTGGAAGTTTATAACATTTTATAATAGGTGAAGTACAGTAATTAATGTCATACGTACATTTATATATTCATTTCTCAAATAAATTCTTTGATGATGATGAGAATACATGTTTGGTTCTCAAAGTACGCTTTGCTGCAAACTATATATAAGTTTTTTTTTACGTTTCATTCTAACAGTGATTGGTATTGGAAATAAAAATGGTCTCAAATTATTTATATATTATTCAAATATATAAACATTTATATCAGTATAGCCATGTTACGTTTCTCAATATATTCAAGCAACGATTCAGGGCGTTTTTAGGGGTTCCTATTTTATCCTTTTATAGCACTACCTTAAGAAATCGTCTGCCAATATTTTTGAATTTTTTGGATGAAACAAAAAGTGATCAAATGTGTCGCCTTTATCTAGGCCATAACTTGACCAAAAAGCATTTAACTCGTCACGCATTTTATTTTTTAGAAAACAAAAACAACCAGTTTTTCATGGCAATATTCAGATTCAGAATTTCACTGAGTTGGACAGTTCCTTAATTCGTGATAAGTTTTGCAGTATTATGCTAGTAGTAAGATAATAAAGTTTTACATTTACGACTATCATTGACTTTTTGACTCATAATAATAACATTTTGTTTCTTTTAAACAGGTATTTTAATCCCTAAGTCTTATCTAACAGACTGCGTGATTTTTGTTTGTTCGGATTTAACAAAATGCAATAATGACGTGAGGTAAGAACATGTAATGAGTTTAAAGCTAAAATAGTTTGTATATAGTACATTCATTTTTATAGTATATTTCTAAATGACACTTAATGATTGATGTTTTTATTTCAGAGGTTTTTTTTGTTTTTAGCGGGAGGATAAACTGTGATTACCACTCGTGCATTTCATTATTTTCTTTATAAACTTCAACAGATGAAGAAAATATTTATATCTATATACTTTAAACTATGTGGTATATATGTTAGGAAAATAAAACAGATCTAAGTATCTAAACAAATGCATTACTGTATGGAGTTAAACAAATATAACGCAAGTTGCAGAATTGCAGCCCAGACAAACAGACAGAAAAATCATATCCAAAACATTATCTCAATGTTTACAATCAGCACATAGAGAAGGGGATTCATATTTCAATACATATTCGTCATTTTCTTAAAACAAAAAGAAGCGCAAAATGTAACCACTGCCTTGATTTAAAATAGTTTTGCTTATGAAAGTTTTCTCCAACAAAATGATAAATAATTTAATGGTAAAAATAGTAGACATATATAAAAATTCTTAAGCTTATTACTGATGCTCTGCAGAAAAAAAAACATACATAAGTACAAATTACAAATATGTTAAATAATTTCTTTTCCACAAATATGACGCTGTGATTAAGCCTTAACCTGCTGAAACAAAAAAATAAGACTTTGCCACCAATAGAAAGCCGGTCAAGCATACAAGACCCTATACTATTGTAAGTTTGATATTGAAATCCAAAGTTCCAAATAGGCATTTCCAAATTTAATTCAGTTAAAATCCATGCAAGAAATGCAATAGATGTTTTTACTATTGCACTGTCTTAAGATATTGGTAAAATTTGAAAATATAGTAGAAGTGTTTATGAAAACGGCACACCTATAGACTGACATCAAAAATTGTTGCAGGCTGATTTAATTGATCTTCTTCGTGGACGGTGTATGAAAGTGCAAGCTTCCATTGCTCCGGCTTAAACAGAATTCAGCAATTTACATGAATCGATGAAAGTTTAAATCATACTCATGTGCGGTTTTGATTGATTATTTATTTATTATCTCTTATTTAATTTTAGAGTGTTTGACTTGATACTGGTCTTTTTAACCACTGCAACAGTACTTCGTAGATAAAGAAATATCAACCAGAAAAAGGTATCAACAACAACAATTAAAAACAACACATAGAGGATATTTGTTTAGTTCCGTGTAAGATAGGAATATATTTCACCGAGTGAGCACCAAAAGGTTTATTTCACGAGTGGCGCAGCCACGAGTGAAATATGAACTTTTGGTGTTCACAAGGTGAAATATATTTCGATCTTACACTAAACTAAACAAATTTTCTTTTTATTATATGCAAAGAAACGTTTTAAAAATACATTAAACCTAAAACTGAATGAAAAGCGCGCCAAATAATAATACAACGTGACGTCATTTACGACGTCACGTCATTAAGTTGGTACCCAGTACTGTGCACGCTGGTATTTCACTAAAACAACGTAAGGGGCTTAAATTCAAAACAGTGAAATTATCAAAGTGGTAATTTCACTGTTTCAAACAGTGAAATTACCAGTTTTAAATCACTGATATATTTCTATAAACCACCGAAAAGCATGTAATAAAAGTTAAAAATCCTCAATCGCCTGGTAATGTTATTAAGCAAATCATGTAATAATTTTGATTTTATGACATTTTCTTTCTATTTTTTTAACGCTGCATTTCTCTAAAATGGTTTCATTTAATGTTCATATTTTACGGATAGTGTTTGACATTAATCACACAAATCATTAAGGTTGTAAAAGCTAAAATTATAGTAACGATGGAACCGAAATATCATCAATGCTTCTTTTGGGGTGTTTGATTATTGTCAATAGTAGTGCAAATTTCATTTTTCAAACATTTTCTGAAGTAACTATAGCAAGGAAAGAGTAAAAAAAAATATGTCCTTAATGTCGACGATGCTCCTAACTAAGAATCATGTAAGTGTTTCACATTGCTAAAAATAAAACAAAATCGGAAGCTTTATTTATTATTCTTGGAATACAAACAGTATTTAAACCTGAATACCCTGCTAATTATATTTAATTTATACTAGGTATATATACCATATATAGGATATATACTCGGGTATGTCAGCAAATATAGAACGTCATTACTGTCAAAACTAACCAACTAATAAAGGTATCTAGGATTCAAATTACCAAATATGCCATATAAACATAAATAGTTCATGCTTGCTATATAGCCAGGATTTATATGTTGAAAACACTTTCACAACACTCGATGTATACATGCTTTCGCAATTGTATTTTTTAATATTTGCCCTTATTATCTCAATAAAATGAAATATGTCCACTCTCTTTGAAACAAAGACAAATGTTACTGATGAGAGTTTATCTTATGTTTAAACGATTAAACCAATCATTGAAAGATGATAACGCCAAAATGAATTCCGTTATATAAACGTATCTGGTCTTTCTCATATCAGAGATGGCATGATTGCCAGTTTGTTTTTGTTTTAGCAACAGTAAATATGCATTAGTTTTGCAATCATTTACAATACATTTACAATGCTTATAAATCAAATCATGTTATCAGCATGTCGACAATACAAATCGTTATGGAAATAAATCGCGGTATATCTTATTGCGATATATCTTAACAGTTTAAAACCTAAACAATGTGCTCATAAATGCTGTTTTTTCTACGGATGATGTTCAAAT